ACGGCTTGTGTGGCTGGCCGCGCAGCGCGGAGGTCTGGACTCGGACGGATGCGGGATGACTGCTGCTAGGCTGTGGCTTCGTCAGCGCTGAGCGCCGAGGAGGTTGAGGCGGCGGCGGCGGCGGCGGCGACGGCGCAGCAGGCGGCGCAGACTGCGGTGGCGGACGCTGCCCCCGTGGCTGCCAAGACGTTGGTCCTGCTGAAGCGCGCGGCGGCGGCGGCGGAGAGTGCCGGCGCAGCGGTCGAGGAGTACACTGCCGCCGCGCTCCCGCTCTCGGCAGAGGTGGGCGGGCGGGTGGGAGGGTCTGCGAGCTGTGAGGGGCGTCTGTTCACACAGCGTGCGCCGTCAGCAGGTCGGCGCGCGTGTCGGAGAGTCTGCGAGGACCGCTGCAGCCTGCGCCGCCGCCGCCGCCGCCCCTCGGCTCGAGGCTGCGGGCGGCCAGCTGGCGGCGGCCGCGCGGGAGCTGGCGGCGGCGGCGGCGGCCGAGGTGGACACACGAGTTGCGCCCGCGATAGAGGCTGCGCTCAAGCAGGGCGCAGAGGAGGTGCAGCGGGCTGCGGGCCTTGCTGGGCGGACAACCTCTTCACACCAACCGGCTGTGAACAGGTGCAGCGGGCGGCTGCGCAGGCGGTGCCTCGCTGACGACTGGCCGTGCCTTGATGGGGGACCCGGGGCGCCGCCAGCACGCCGGCACGCCGGGTTGCTTTTTTTTCTCCTCCGCCTTGAGGTGCCTTGGACGCTGCTCCCTGCCTCCCTGCGCCAGGACGACGGAACCACCGTGCTTTGCGACCTCACCCTAGCCGTCTTGCACCCCCCCCCCCCCCCTTCTTCTTCTAGCTAGTGCCATGGACGCACACTGTCGCAGAGCTGCCTTGCATGCCGCCCGGTGGGGCTTGCCACATGCCAGCCGAGACGGTGGCAGTCTTCATATAATGTACGATGACGGTACGGTCTACAGCACACAAAACGAAAGCTCACTTGTCACTTCTGGAGTGCTCCACGCGGCGCGATCTGCGAACTCTCCGGTCGCGGGCGTGACTGTTTTGGGGGGAAATTATTTTGCGGTGACGGCGTATCTCTCGCGTCCTCACCGCGGGTGACTGTTTCGTCCCCGGTCTCACTTGCATGATTTTGTCCGTCTCTCTGCGTCTCTCCAAGCGTCTCTCTGCTGTCACAGTTCTCTAGCGTCTATCTGCTGTCAAGTGCTGAGCGTGTCAGTGTCGCAGGTGCGTCTCACTCTCAGATGCGTCTCACATTCGTGTCTGTCTCTTTCGGCTGCGTATCACTCAGTCTCACGGCTGGGCTGAGACGTCATAGTCCTGCTGAGCGAAGTGAGTCGTCTCACTTCCCTCTGAGCCAGTGCTGAGCCATAATGAGACGCGGCGCAGGGCGGGGGGTTTGAGACGCCACAAGCCGCTGCTTGCTTGAGTCGTCTGACTCAGGTCCGTGCTAGAGACGCAAAATTATGGCGATTGAGGAGACTCAACTCAGGCTGTGTCTGAGGTGCGGCCTGGCGGGTCTCGGTGAGTGTAGACGAGCCCTAAGCATAATCGCGCTCTATGGGAGCAGGCGGACATCGCTTCCAGGGAGGGGGGCGCACTTCTCTGCACACCACATGCTAGGGGGGGGGTCCGACCCCCCCCAGAGGCTTCACCACATGCTAGGGGGGGAGGTCCGCCCCCCCCCAGCGCCTTCACCAAGGCTGTGGAGGCATCAGCAAAGCCGTCTTGCACGGCGGTTGTGACGGCGGCCTGATTGTCAGTGGTGGTTTCAACGGTGACGGTCAGCGTCGAGCTCGAGTCGAGACGTCGCCGCCGGGACGTGTCCTTGCCCGCGCAGTCGATTTTCACCTTATCCGGGGGGGCCCCGATTTTGGCGCCAAGCTTTGTGGCCAGAGTTGATGCGTCAATGTCGGCGCAGCTCCCGGAAAAGTCAACTGTGACCGTGATTGTGGCGCCCGCCGTGTAGTCGGACGGGTAGTTGGGCACCGTGGGTGGATAGGGAGCTGACGGGGGGAAGGGGTGATCGATCCAAAAGGGGGGAGCGGCTGGTGGGGGCGTTGTTTGCCAATCGTACAAGAGGGAAAACCCAATCGTGTTGTTTCCATTTGGTGCTGGCCCATACGTCCCAACATTCGGGACAGTGGATCGACAGGGCTGTTCTCTGGTGCATTGCGTTGTGGCAGACAGAAGGCTCTCCCTTGACAAATTGATGAACGTCATGCATGTACCAGTGTCAAGATCATAAGTCATGTAAGCCTCCTTTCCAAGGGCGGAGTCCCCATCAAAGATGCTGCAACACGTTCCAAAGTCTCCAAAATCGTTAACAGCTGGGCCAATCCCCAAACCAATTTCCTCGTGGAGTACGCAAACCCCGTCGCTTGGATGACAGGGTACGCCTTCAATAACGCCGATTACATCTGGCCTCTTGTATGCCAGTGTGCCGTAGTACATCGAGTAGTTCAGCCAACGGAAGCAATCTGTTTGTTCCCAAGGCAGAAGTGCTGGCGCAGGCGAGACCATGGCCTCTAGATCGACGGAGCCGACGCACGCGAATCTGGGCAGGCCGCGGCCGCCGGACCTATTTTCGTCCAAAGTATTTTCGTCCAAAGGGCCCCCCCCGAGGGGGGGGAAGCTTCCCCCCCGGGCTGGAGGGGGGCTCCCGGGGGGGGGGGTGGGCGCCTGCGCCGCAGGCGCCCTGCGCCGTAGGCGCCAGAGCTGCCGCGTAGCGGCAGCGCCGCACGCAGGCGCTGGAAGCGCCGTAGGCGCCGTAGGCGCCTTCAGGCGCCGCGGAGCGGCGCGGGGCGCCGCGGAGCGGCGCGGAGCGCCGCCGCAGGCGGCGGACAGCAGGCGCGCAAATTAAACGCATTTTTTTACTCCACGGTTTTGCCACAATCTTCAAAATCCGGTACAAATCGACTTAGACGGCCCCGTGTCCGCCCCGTGCGGATCCCTGAAGCTCTCGCACGTGACCAGGGCGTCGGGCTGGGGTGCAGTAGAGGCAGCAGACAGCAGGCTCCCGGATATAAGCGCCAGTATTGAGTCTGTCATTTTGACACTGTATTCGGTTTTGCCTCCTGACTCTTAGCACTCACGGCACTCTTAGCCGTGCGGCCGCACAGAGGACATAGTAGAATGAGCGACGGGTTGACGTTCGGTCACGCAGGAAGCTCGTCCACCCCATCTCTTTGCTTGCATGTGCAGCATTCGCACGGCGTCCGCTCCGGCCTTAAAGGTGCAGCACGGCGCGCGGATTCCGTCTCGATGCGCTCTGCCCGTTCATGCAGTCACCAGAATTACTTGGACCTCTCCTGCAAGAACGCAGCTGGGTCTTGGAGCTTCCCCATCCCGTTCTTGCCGCATCCCACCCGTGGCGGCGAGGGTGGCGGCGGCGAGGGTGGCGGCGAGGGTGGTGGCACGCTGCCGTACAGATGCCACGACGAGGTCGAGCACGCTTCTATACGCTCGCCCAGCCTTCCTTTCCATCCCATTAGGCAGCCTGGGAACGGTGGCGGTCAGAGGCAAAGCCTACGAGGGGTGGTGGAACCACATGTCACGGCTACTGCCGGCTCGACCCCACGATAGCCTCCGAAGGCTGACTTTGCGGCACAATCATCGGACGATGTCGACGAGTTGGGTCGCTCTCGCGGTAGTCAGATGACCTCCCATGCTAGTATCATCGGCTAGGGCCGCAGGAAGCGCGGGGGAGGGCGCTGGGAGCAACACGGAGCTCCGTTGGACGTTTTCAAGATTAGCGTGTCAGAGTGAAATGGAACTACAAGCCTCAGGTCAGCCGCTCGAGGTCAGCCCCTGGGGGAACCACCTCCGAAGGGGGGTGGACGTACAGCGGCACGAGGGCTTCAGCGACAGCCACAGCTACCATGGGAACACGTGATCCACACAAAGCCCCAAAGTAGGCATACCCCCCGGCGCAGTGTCTCCCGCTATGTGTGTCGCCGTTCGTCGGCCGGGCGCCGGGGCACGCTATCCTGTGCAGTCCCAGGCCGTGAGTCAGGACAAGTGGGGGCGGCCGGGGCGGAGAGTGCCCAGGAGCGTGCTCCTGGGACCTCTCGTCTAACTTCGGCCCAGTCCGGCGGTTGCGTCGACCCTTCCATCACCCTGTCGGAAGAGGGGCGTGCCGGTGGATGCACCTTGCACGTCCGGGGGGGTCCTGGAGATAATTTTTCACCTCACCCCGGCCCTCAATCGACGGTCGGAGTGTCACAGCGTGAGAGGGGAAATGCAACTCGTAGACAGACCGGGCCTTTTAAGCTGGGGGGGGGGGGGGGCTGCAACCTCCCCAAGCTCGCAGGTGTCAAGCTCGCAGGGCCCCTCGGGCCTCGGGGGCCCCCCCCCCCCCCCCTTCCCTACCCCCGACGTACCATGACTCCTCGAGCCAAAACGGCCGGAAGAGCCAAAACGCCGCGGGAGCAGCCTCCGAGGACCCGGCGGAGAGCGGCCAAGCAGCGAGGAAGCAAAGGGGGAGAAAGGTGAGGGGGATATAGCCTCAGAGGGGTGAGAGGCGCCGCGGCGCTCACTCGGCGGCGGCGGCGGCGGCGGCCGCGCTCTCGGCAGGCCTCCCCCCTGCGCCGCCGCCCATGCGGCGCATGTATTCTTCGTGGTACTTTTGGCTGGCGGCGTCGCGCTTGACGTTGAAGTCCTCGAGCTGCCTACGCAATGTGGGCCGTCGGTTCAAAGGGGCGAGGAGCTCTTCATGACGGGACGTTGACGCCGACGAGAGCTGCCTATTAAATAGTGATTAAGTAATTAGGAACTGCTTAATTAGCGCGTCGACGGCGACGAGAGCTGCTTGAAGTTGCGGCGCGAGTTGATGAACTCCTGCAGCGCGGGCGGGTACTTGAGTAGTGAAGAAGAATGAATGTGATTAGTGAATAAGAATTAATTAGTTCATGAATGGTTGAGGTGTCGAAGGCCTGCAGCGCGGGCGGGTACTGGCCGACGCAGTACCACGAGCCGGGCGCATCGCACACGCGGTTCGCCGGGTCGGCTGCCCACAGCTTCGACTTGAGCGAGACGCGCTTCACTTTGTAGATGCGGACCTGCCATAAGGTCACTCCATGAGTGTCAACAGTACCTTGGCCTGGTGTTGAGGCTGCACTTTGTAGATGCGGACATGTCATGCTATGTTCTCCTCCTCGACAGCGACTGTAGACGCGACCCTCATCGCTGTGTGGATGCGACCTTGCCATGCTTGGAGGAGATACGGGGAGATACGGGGAGATATGCGGCCTCGCCGTGCTTGGAGTAGGCGTGCTAATTAATCAGTTCATCAGTGGGTACTAATGAATTCATCACCGTGCCGTGCTTGGAGGAGCAGGCGTTATGAGCTAATTGGTTCTGACTCCAATACTAATGAATTCCTCGCCTTGCCGTGCTTGGAGGAGTAGGCGTGCTCAAAGTACGACGAGTTGACGGCGACGCCTCGCTGCCCGTTGAGCACGAGCTTGTACAGCAGCGACTTCTCCATCATCGGTGTCGGCGAGCGGTCGCGGTAGAAGCCTACCGTGAGAGAAGACACCACCCTCGGGGCGGGAATGCGGCGTTGTGCAGTGTACTCAGAGCGCTGCGTGTCATCTGAATGCGGCGGAGTCCGTGTCCTCTCCAGTGCCGGCCGGAGGGCAAGAGTGCGCATTCCGCTTCTTGGGGCAGAAACCGAAGTTGCTGCAGGTGGGGTCGTTGCCGCAGTGGCCGTGGAAGACCGAATTGCCTAGAGAAAAAGGAGTGCGTGACGAAAAAGAAACGCCTGGCGGCGGCCGTGGAAGACCGAGTTGCCTAGAGAAAGAAGAACTGCGTGGCGCAAAAGAAACAGACTCCGACCGGCCGTGGAAGGCCGCGTTGCCGATCCGCGCCAGGTGCGGCGACTTTGCTAGGTCGTCGCCTCCGCCGCCCGCCCAGACGAGCACGTAGTCGGCGAGGTGGCGCGCGTACGAGTGCGCCTAATTCATCGTTAATTTATAGTTAATTAATCGTTAACTAGTAGTCGGCGAGGTGGCGCGCGTACGAGTGCGCCTCCTCTTGCGGCGCCGTGAGGATCCGTCCGAGCGTCGCGATGTGCTCGTGGTTCCAGGTGTTCCTAATTACTTAATAACTAATTACTTAATCATTAATTAATAGGCTACCAGATCACTCGTGGTTCCAGTGTTCCCGTCGGCGACCGAGGTGCGATTGGCGATGCCGGTGATCTGGTAGCCGTAGTCCCACCAGGCCATCACGCGCGCGTCCTCCGGCGTCTTGTCGCGCAGCCACCAGTACGCCTGCGGCAGTAGTCCACTCATGATCAGCGAGGAGCGCATCAGTGACGAGGAGTCACCACCGGAGTGCCGACAACAGTGTGCAGCACAGACCTCGTCTAAGATGCGACATGCAAACGACGATAGGTAGTGCGCTGCTGCTACTGCTACTACCAGCCAGGCCTCGCGGTAGTCGTCCACCATCACCGTCTGCCCGTTCGAGTACGTCGCTTTGAACATGATCTGCGGCCGCGACGACCCCTCCGCCATACGGTGGCAGTAGGCCTGCGTTGCGAGACAGCCAGCAGGAGGGCGTGATCACGGCTGAGTACAGCTGAGTCTGTGTCCTCTCGAGCGCTGGTTGAGAGACAAAGAGCACGTGCCCCGCTCTTCTACCGCCGGCGTGGAAGTCGTAGTTGCGGGGGGGGGGGGGGGGGAGTATCGGGAGATACGGGGGGAGGTACGTGGAGATGTTTCCGCTTCTAGGGCAGCAAGCGTAGAAGTCGTAGTATGCGTAGATTGTCGCGAGGGCCAGAGCGAGCCCCATACACAGCCGCGTCTTGACCCCGCCCGGAGAATCGGCCACCTACACCAGCCCGTGCGTGCACCGTTGCGCAAGAGGGTACTCTCCATCCTCCTCCACGCCGGGAACGTCCGCCACCGCCATCACCGCCGCCGCCGCCTCCTCCCTCGCCGCGGCGACCCCGCCGAACGGGTTGGTCTCTGCGCGGCGGCTCTCCGCGCGCCGCGCCTACAGCGCGAGCCGCGGAGTCCCATGCCTCCAGAGTATCGAATCCAGTGTGGGTTTAGTCCCGTGAGTGGTGCGGTACTGCCGCGCCTTACGCGCGACCACCCATCAATTAACTAATCATTATGGACTAATGACTGGCTCTCCGCGCGCGCCGACAGCGCGCCCACGCCATTCGCCTCCCTTGCACCCCCAGTGCTGCTTTCCTGAGGACTGCCGTCGCTCTGGGCTGCGGCGGGCGTGTGTGTGCGTCTGAATACGGCGTAGCACGTGTCCGCTCGAGCCCCGGGTGGGTGGGTAGGAGAGAGCGCTCTTCCGCCTCTAAGGCGGTGCGCCCTTGGGGAGGTATGGGGAGGTATGGGGAGATATGGGGAGATATGGGGAGATA